TCACGTGCTCATTTCATTTGCATCTCAGCTACTCGAAAACAAAAAAAAACAAAAAAAAAATAAAACACAAAAATTTCATTTACAGCGGAACGGATAATTTCGCGCTTCACTTGCTCGCTTCTTTCCTGCTGCATGAACAAGTATCTATGTATGTATGCATTAAAAAATTAAGTTATATTTTGTTGGAAGCACTTAATAGCTAGCAGTGCATGTTTTTCTTTTCTTTTTCTTTTTTAATGTTACGATGATATGTGATACCTTCTGCGCTTTCATTAACACTTTACTTCATTTAATTTATTTTGTTTTTTTTTATATTGCATTTTGCCCGTTTTTGCTATTACTATTTATAAAACACTTCACTCAGCTGCTTGCCTTCATTTGAAGCGTGTCTTTTTTATTTTGATTGATTGGCTTCTGTATTTATCACAATCAGCTGTTAATCTGTAAAGATAAAAGATAAAATACCGTTTTAACAATTTTGTTTATGTAGCAACAAACAACTTGTCTTAAATATTGTAATTTAATATGATGTGTACTCGAGTTAACTTATTATATGTAAGTATTTGTTTTGATAGGTGAAAAACTTAAGAAAATTATAACTGAATATTTTTCACAACATTTTCGTTTTATTATAACAATTTAGTTAACTTATTTATTATTCTTTTATAAGTTATTATACTCTGTCAAACCTATTTTTGAATAGTTCTTAATTATACTATTTGCCAAAATTTTTCGCTTGATATCTTAGCTTAGGAGGGCGCATGAAAAGTTCCATACTTTCACTCATGGACAGAACTTCCCCGATGTGAGTGCCCAACGTGAGTGACCGCCGAAAGGCAGCGCATCCCCCTAACCGGACTTCCATTAGCAAAAAAAAAAAAACAATAGTCAAGGCATTAATCGGCTGAATCACTGCCATCGGAAATGAGATGAAGATGCAACAGTTCTATCTACGATATCTATCTGTTTCCACTGCAGACTCACCAGATGCACGGAAAGTGATCCATTGGTTTCTCCTCATGCTCATCAAGAAAGCTCCTGCAGAGCTTATTGTTTGTTATACGCCATCGTTAATCGTCAATCGCGATTAACATTTAAATCGTTAATTTTTAATCCTTAATCAGCTTAACATTTTGCCAACACTGGTTGTACTCATTTAGCTGCCTCATAACTACGAGTATGATCGTCATATGATTGTTGTACCGAGTAGTCTGCCTAGTTTATGCATGTATCGGAGCCATACCAGGTCATCTCATCACCCAACAAAACATAACGTTGAGATAACGTTGACAGTGTTAAACAAATAGGCACGTCATTTCTGTACAAACTCGGCTTACATTATTTTGGAACCTATTGCTTTCATAGACATTTGACTATCGCAAAATACAGGGACTTTTTTGAGTACAACCATACTATTAGGTAGAAGACTAGCTGCTTTCTCTATTGCATACATTTCAACTGCTCCAAGCAGATGAAAAGGCTGACTGACCAGCAGGTCTTCTTAGTAGGAACCGAAACTGTTCCTTGTTGTTGTTCTTTGAACAATTAGTGTAGATGGTTTTAACACCATTTCCTGTTGATAGGCCTTCACATAGATAAAAAAGATCGATATACTCACGCAACTAGGGGGCAAATATATTAATTGATATGCCATGACATACATACATATAAATACGCTTCGGAAAAATTTCTTATCAAAAAGGGAAAAAAGAAACTTAGAAAATGCTTCTAAACGATAACTACACCGGCACACAAAAAAAATGGTATGTGCTTTCACCATTTCCACCTACTGACATGTATTTTGACCCACTAAATCCGAATATGAAAAAAATGGAAAAAAAATTCCCAATTTTCGTAATTTATTTAAAATTTTGAGGGTGTATGAGCCAAACAGACCTCAGATTCGGCCTCTCTCTTTTCGACTACAGGGAAGTTTCTTGAAAATAACTCCATATATATATTAGGTATTACTACAACAAAAACTCGAAACTTGAAAGATTGAAATTTTGGACTCTCCAATTACACTTTTTATTATGAATCAAGCTTAAAGATGCTTAAAGGACTTACCGTTGATTAATGGCGATTTTTTTCCCGCGTATGCACATTTTTTTTTCTAAAAAAAAAATATAATGATAATTGCCAAAAATGTATGCTAAGTGCCAGCATCTTTAAAATACACCTTATACTAAATTTTTTTTTTTAACATCCATATTTTTAATAAATATGTGTGAGTAAGCTTTATTAGGCTAGTGTATGTATAGATAATACACTTTTTTAAAATAGCGGTTAAGTTTAAAGTAAAACATAAAAAAATCATAAAAATCAAATTTGTTTTATTTGAGAAAATTGGACTATTTTTATTTTTTCAAAGTAATTACAGATGGTTAGCTACCCATCCGATATGGCGTACTCGCAAGCCTTGTAAACTATGATTGGTGCCATACTATAATGCCAGAGCAATTAATATAATAGTAGGTATCTATTTAATTTTAGTTTTTCGCCATAACCATAAGCAGCTCTGAAATATTTAGCTACATTATGGCTAAGGCCTCTCTAATTTGGTCTTAAATCTGGAGATTTCAGCCGTTACGAACAATGTAGACTTTGAAACTTACATATATACAATAAATGTTTGTGATTTTAGTGCTCACCTGATCGCAGTGTTTTTTTTTTTTATAACAATCAAGTAAAAGGCGTTATTTGAAAAAAATATATTTCTTACGATTTTTTCCTCTTATGTACAATCCTAAATGGTGTGACCATTAAAACACCGCCTTCTTTATTTCACGTGCATTTTTACACTACTCTATTGTACATAAGTACGGTATCAGTCATATCTATAGAACGCCATTTCAAAGTGAAGTTGCTTGCAACTTATTTTTATTTACTTATTTTTAAGTATTTTCAGTTAAAATGCAGTTAATTCTCTTACAAAACCCTTATAAACCCAAATTTAAAACTTTGTTGAAAACTACAAAAGGCAACAAATTTTCACCTAAATTTAAATTTTTTCTCTCAGAAGTGTTAGTTTTATAGCCCATTAAGTTCATTATGATAACGTGCAAGTTTCAAGTGGCTTAAAATTGACGTTAATTTAAATTTTTTCTATCGCATTTGCTTCCATATAACGAAAACCGCAACACCTTCGGCACAAAAAATTCTAAAAAAACTAACGGTAATTTTTAGCCACTTGAAATTTGTACATTATCAGAATAAAATTTAATTGACAAAATAAAGTGATGTACTCAAAAAAATTCTAACACTTCTGAAAAAAAGTTTGTGTTTTTAAATTTTTTATTTTTAGTTTTCTAAAAAGTTTTAAACTAGGATTTATATGGGTTTTGTTACAGAATGAACTGTATTTTAATTGAAAATTCGTAAAAATAAATAAATAAAAATAAGTGGCTAACAATATCACTTTCAAATGGCGCGCTATAGATATGACCGATGCTGTATATTGCCTTCGAGTTTCTTAGCCTTTTAGCTCAAATTTCCATAGCACCTGCCAAAATACATAAATCAACACAGTCATAATCTCAATCAATCTCTCATATCCGCAATGACAATTATGAGCAACAATATTTTTTACTGTCTTAAAAGTAGTACAAAATGGTATTAAATAGCTACACGCTGAAGTATGACATTGTCTGAGCACTGTTCAAACGCCCACTCAATATTCATTCATTAGAGATCTCAATGAAAAAAATTCAATTGGACTACAAATAAATACAACAAATATTTCAGGTGTTTAAACTGCTAGCCTTCGCTTTTTATTTTGTCACAAGTTCGTGTTATGTTAGTTAATAAAGAAGTGTGTATTGTATGTAGTAGTTTGGCTACATATTTATTTAGTGTACTTACTGTTGTACAACAAAATTGTTGACAGTCTGGCGGTGGCGGTGACATCGATTCAAGTAATTGTTTTCCGCACCCATTGACGGCTAAGTGCGATTTTTGTTCTGCACTCTAAAAAAAAATGGTCGGCAAATCCGAAAATGCAAATATGTAAGAACACATAGTACATACATATGTACATATTTGTAACTGTAATTGAAAATTCTTTTGATGGACCTTAAACGTAAGTATCTCTTTGCTATGGACAGTGTGTCGTGTGGAACAAGCTTGGTGTACTAAATTCATTTCCGGGTTTCTAGAAAAAGGTAAATTTTTAAACATTAACACCCACATAAACATAAGGGATATCCCAAAAGCCCTGCCTGAAGTCTTTTTGTGCGTCCTTCATTCAAATGTGTGGTGCGACAGTGTTTAGAAATAAATTAATATTCTTACTGAAACTCAAGAATTTTTTTTTGATTGCCAATACTTAAAAAAAAATGACTGAGGGATGTCAAAAATTAAGCCAATGCGTTATTGCCTCGCGGTTTTTTTGTTAATAATTTCATAAGTGTTTACTAAAACCATAGTTTCTTTTATATCTAATCAAGTATTGCAATTTTTGGGTTATGATTGTTTAATACTTTTTTCTTTGTTTCGAAAATCAGTCAAATTTTATGCCCATAAACATTAAGTTGCTCTTTGTAACTTTGTGTATTAATCACATTGAATTTTCAATAAAATTTAAGCCACAGAATTTTTTTGGTTTTTATGACACCAAGCTTCTCACGGCTCTTAAGTAGCATTTAAAATTTTGTTATGCAACAATCAAAAATTCATAAACTTTACTCATAAAGTTCAACACAATTAAAAGAGGTGCATACCGATGTATGTATGTATGTACATATGAACGAGTAGGTATAAAGGCTTAGGTGTGATGCTCGATTCATAATTCATGCACGAGTTTCAGTAGCGCACTAGTAAGGTGATTGATTCGGTTTTTGAAAACCGAGTACAACGAGTTTTTTTTTTTTTGAACATTTTTCGGTGGATGTTTTTAAATCTTGATGTTTTGAATACCGAGTAAACTAGATTTTTGCAATCGAATAAACCGAGGTTTTATTTATATACCAAAATCTAAATATTCTAAATATCGATTTTATTGAAAATGACACTAGAACATTTTTTTTAAATTTTTATCTATAGATATTTATAAACACTGGAAAAATTTTTATTTTAGAAAATATTTAAAACAAGTAATTAAAAAAACATTAGTTGTTAAAAGAAAAGAAAAATTGTTTGTGGAGTTAATCCTTTTCATGTTAATCCATCGGACCATAAATAAGGAGTTTTCAAATACATACAGTGACTCAAAGAAGTGACCACGTGTTGATTCTTTTTAAATATTTGTAATGTTTTTTAAGCTAAATTTTTTTGTTATTTTTCTATAAAAAATACCGTCAAAGCTTTAACCAAAACCAAATTAATCACAGTTTCAAACTGTATACAAAATTTGGGAAAATACAACTATTTTTCATTAAAATGTCAACTTTTTAGTTTGAATCTTTAGAATATTTTTGGGTATGCAGTTATATAGCCCATACAATTTTAGTCAAAAGAAGTGCAAATTTCAACCGGCTAAAAAGTCGCGTTATTTTTGTGCCGTTTTTTTTTTATATATAACAATTGCAATTTGCAAAAACTGGTCTTCCGCATTTTACTTCATAAGAAATTCATGCTTATACATACATATGGAAAAAAGTGCAAAAATCCGTCCCCCAAAAAAAAAAAACATCTCAAAACTCAACGGGATTTTTAGCTCTTGAAACTTGCACTTCATTAGACTAAAATTGTGTGGGCATACTCAAAAATGTTTTAAAGGTTCACATAAAAAAATGGAATATTGATGAAAATTTGTTGAATTTTCTTTATTTTTTTTTATAAAGTTTGAAACTGTGATTTATATGGTTTTGGTTAAAGCTTGAACAATATTTTAAAGAAAAATAACAAACAAAAATTAACTGGAAAAACATTACGAATATTTAAAAAAAAAATGAACACGTGGTCATTAGTTTGAGTTAGTGTATCTGGACATCTGCGCTACGTAGAGGGCTAATTCATCCTTCATATTGCATTGATTGATTTGATTTCTAAATCGGAGCTATACATATTTTTAGCACTCATCCTGCAAATTTGGTCATGATTTCTGACAGCGAGTATTACTACAGAGAAAATATTTAAAATAAAACCGGTTTAACCGTGTTTCTTTAAATTGAAAATGGCGACCTAATTCTAATTATCTTTGTATTTTAATTGCCGTTTTTCGAATAACTAACTCGAAACCCGTCTTTCGATAAAAGCGAATAATCGAACACCCTATTTGCAAGCCAACACTCATGTTCATGCGCATTTGCACATATGTATGTTGTATGGTTACATATACATACATACATACTGTACCTATTCAAAATGAATAGAGCGAAACAGGCCGTATAAGCAAATCGCATTAAAAGTTGGCGTTACTAATCAGATTAGTGATTTTTACATAATAAATAATGACCAAATACGAAGATGGATCAATAAATTTATGAATTTTTGATTTCCCCCCTTTACACCTTAAAGTAATGGCACACCACGGTAATGGCGCTCCGATCAAACCCAAACCCATTAATTCCCCGAAACCGTACGGCATTAGTTATTCCCATATATCAGACTTTTCTGACTCTAAAATGAATTAGAGACCCAAAACTATTCTAGAATAAACAACTGTCGTTCTTGAGTTTTTGTTTCGGATTCTGAGAAATGAAATATGAAAAAACTTCAAATATTTTTCATTAGATAAGCGAGATATTTTTTAACAATTTACTAGTTCTAAACAAAACTTCATTTTAGCATATTAAGACTTACTAAGAACGAAAATTTTTATGAGATCAGAATCCTCTCCAGTAGTGATCTTTCAAATTAGGAGATTAATTGCGAACTTTTTCCCGCGACTCAGACTATGTGTCAAAATTGGTATTAAGCAATAGATTTCTAAGAAAGCTAGTTTTAAGAAGGGCCTTAATCTAAAATGCGAACATCTTTTCTACTGAAAAGTGAAAGGGAGTTGTCATTTTAGCGCCTGCCATTAAAGGTTTATAAAATTTATGTCTGTTTGTTTTTGAATGGCGAACAATCAAACACTCAAGAAAACTTTATTAAATTAGTCGCTTCAAAAATGCACAAAATCAACTTAGTTGTATGCACCACTTTCAACAAATAACACGTTCCCACAAATGCTTAAATACGGTTACATAGTTGCTCTAAATGCATTCACTTGCCACTTGTACACTGGAATTGCAAAGACTTGGCAAAATTTTACCAATTAACAAATTTCGACACACATTTGTTAATCGATTGATTGCACCAAATGCAGCAGAAAACCCAATTGTTGCATGCAACTTAACACCTTTTAAAGCCATTTAACTTAATTAACAATTAGCACGCAACACATATTCTAAAGCCAATACAAACAAACGCGCTCACAATCGTATACAACCAACAAAGAAGCAAACAAAAGCAGAGATACATACATACATACATATATATGTAGGCAATAAAAGCAAAAGTAGCAACAGCTTAGGAATAAGAGTTAGAAACCAGTTGGCCCAGTGGCTTATTGTTTATGTATTACCTACCTACTGCCACAAATTAGATCGATCGAACCGATTTTACACCACATACACGCGTTAATCAATGCAGTTAAGAGTACAAAATTTAAAAAAGCTAATACAAAAAAAGCATTCGAATAGGTACACATTAAACTAAAATAAACTTGCACAAACTGCACTTGTATGTAAACATATACATATTGGACAGTAAGCGTGAATGACAAATTCCAAAACAAATCGAATCTCATTAAATGCGGCGCAGTTAGATACTTCGATTACTACGAATAATATACAATGTAAATATGTATGTAAATACATTAGAGCGTATCACCTGAGTCTAAAGTATTTTTGCTAGGCAATTTGGAAAAAACAAAAATTTTGCCGAAGCTAGGGGTCGCCGTTTTTTACATTTTTCGATTACACCGGAGTTTTTGATTTGAATGAACTTTAGTCAGGCCTTTTCTTTTATCAAATAACGAAATTCTGCCAATGGCAAAAATATATAAAAAATTTTACAAATTACTATTGCAAAATTCTAAATATCACAATTTCCGGGAACTCGCAATTTTGATTCTTGAATATTATAGCTAAAAAATTGTCTTGATTTAAAGATGACATTTAGAGCTATAAGGAAAAAATATAATTAAAAAAATTTTATTAAAGCATTTACAGAATTTTAAATTTAAAAAATCGTAGAAGCAAAAATTTATAAGCATTTTTAAATAAATTTTTGATACAATGAGCCGTAAGCATAGAAACTTAACATTTGCTTTTTCGTAAAATTTCGAAACTTTACTAAAATTTATTTCAGCAAATTTAGTAAAAGGTTTGAAGAAAAAGCATTTGCTTTAGGTTTTATTCATACGGCCCAATACCTCTTAGAATATCCTAAAATTCTCAAGGTTTTTTTCTAAAGATATTAATTCTTAAAAAAAAAAAATATTTTTTGCAAACTCTAAATAAAGCTGCGTTAAGCAATTTTTATTTAATTTGATTTTTTTTTTTTAATTCAGTTTGCAATATTTTTTTTTCAAAGTTCTAAACTCATGCCTTAAAAAAACCTAATTGAAAATTCTAAAATCTTTCAAGATCAGTTAGAGGTATTGTATAAAAACTTGAGCCAAAATTTTCTATAAGTTTTTGCTTTTACCATTTTTTAATTTTTTAATTTCGAAATTTTGTAGATTTTTTAAATTTGCAATTTTTTCAAATACATATATTTTTATACAGCACCAAATATCACCTTTGAAACGAGGCCAGAATAGTTTTTGTAACTACAATAATTTTTAAGATATTCGCTTGCAAAATCTGAAAAACTGTTCGGTTTTTTTTTTTGAAATTTCCTTGCAACAATTCTTCAGATGCGAGGGTGTATGGCGAACATTTTTTCTGGTACGATCTAATGTATATACATACATATGTATGTAAATATACGAACAACAACATGCATTTTAATGGCAAATCAAAGTCTTAGTTTCAGTAATTAAATTTTTTATTTTTATAAAACTCGTTTCACCTCCACTTAGTCCATTTATTCTGTGTGACTCAATTCCAATTTGATTAATGAAAAATATTTATTATTGTCAAAATACATATTCAATTGTTTGCATGTATTAAGATAAGGGCCGGTTACTCAATGTCTGGTTAACACTAACTATAGATTAAACATCGTTATCGACTGCTTGACATACGTTATGGAACCAATCACGTCGATAACGATGACTAACCTGCAGTTAGTGTTAACCAGACATTAAGTGGCAGGCCTTAAGGGCCGTTTTCACCATCTCTGGTTAACACTAATCTCCAGTTAAACATCGTTACCGACGTTACTGACTCCATATATATAACATTGTGTCGATAACGTCGGTAACAATATTTAATTGGAGATTAGTGTTAACAAGAGATTGTGAAAACGGGCCTAAGTAAGTTAATAGTGTTTCGTATGTGTGTACATATACTTGTATATACAAGCGGTGTTGCCATTTTGAAGTTTCTGCTTTGATTTAGCTTCTAATTTGGGTTCAGCTTATAGCTTTCTTCTTAATATTTTTCGCTTATTTTAACCTCTTATATTTCTAAAAATTATTTGCTGCGAATATAAATTGTATAAAGCAGCATAATGCAGTTTATAGTGTTAGGTTTGGAATGAATCAGATATACAAATACAGTCATAATTTCTTACTTCAAATCGTGGGCAATTCTAGTATTTGAACAAATATTGAGAACCATTTGCATCCAGAAAAAGCAAGCACCTTTCAGATGTAAACGACTTTGAAGAACTCAGAAACTCGAAAAAAGTACTTAGTGCGATGATGATGTAAGCAGAAACATCAGAACAGAAAACACAAAAAAACACAAAAATTTTATCCTATCACAGCGTGGCTAAACTGCCAGCAAATTAGTGATTTGGCCACTCTCATCTCCTCCGTTGAATTTCAACACGGCTGGGCCGGGGCTTACACATTTGTTAGTGGGGTGCACCTTGATGTTGTCACATAAGGGGAGCGACCTACAGTCTTACACAGGCTCCGAACGGGGATTTTATTTTGATGAGAAGTTGTTTTTCATGTCAGAAATACACACGGAGGTTTGCCATTGGCTACCGAGGGGCGACCGCTATTAGAAAAAAATTGCTTTGTTTATTTTTTATTTATTCTTTTTTTTTTATGTTGGGTTGAAGGGGGCTTGAATCCAGGCCCTGCGGAATGGTAGCGTGAAATGTCTGCTGAACTGCTCGAGGCACAATGGGGCATCGGGTCAAAAAAGCAAGTAAAAAGTCAAAATTTTTTACATTTGTAACTCACCTCATTTTAACGGTAATATTTACCTAGCCTCCTTTGATTAGTTTTTTTAAACTTTGCTTTTTTCCTCGTTTAGGTTTTTATCTGGAAAAGTTCTGGCCACACTCTTGCAAGTCACCTAAGCGCTGAGTTAAGTTTGGCGGTGACGGCGACAACGTTGAACGGTTGCATTAATTTAAAATAATAGAAAACGATAAAAATAAGAAATCAATAACTTAATAAAAGCTAGTAATAACACAAAAAAAAACAAGCAAAATATTTACACTTACATATTTAAAAAAAAATAATTTTTTTACGAAGTGTTTCGAAAAAGGAATGTTGTTTAACTGGTTTGCTGTGGTAGCGGTCATATATGTGCATATGCGCATACATACACACGTAAACAAATTTTATATTTAATACATACATACATATGCATGTATGTTAGGTCGGGTCAATTTATTCGACTATTTATAAGCGTAAGGCATAGAAGGATTCTTGGCACATAATCCCGGGATTTTCGGGATTTGTAATTTGCACTGACGAAACTCTTTTTCTTGACCGGTATTGGCTATATTTCGTTTTTTATTTAATAATTAATATTTTTTTATGAATGTCTAGCTCATTATATATATAACATCACGCGATAGTAAATTTTCATTATTTATATCAATATATTCGCGGAACCGTGTGCCAAATATAGTAAAACTGCGTCTTTAGTTTTTCACTCTGACGTCAGTAATTCAAAATTGATTTAAAAAATCCAGAGAAACGTGCTTACAAAAAAAGTATGGGCATAAAATTAAAGAGGAAATCCTGTAGAATTTAAACAGATTCAAGTTTTTGGTGCAGAAGGACCGGTAAGTAGTGAAAAAGTCCTTTTAAAATTTTATCCTTGAAATTTCGCAATATTTGTTTTTGAAAAAATGATAGGTTGAGCACTTATATAAACTCGGTAACACCCTCGAATTTCGTCCTTCTAACTTTATCAGCTTAAAAAATTACCTATTCGTCCTTGTGAATCCAAAAAAAATTTTTTTTTTTTAATTCTAAAGAAATTTCCTCTTGTGGGTACCAAATACATTTTTATTCTACATTGCACTGAATTTTTAAATAATTTTTGGAATTCATCATATCTTTGAAATTAAAAAGTCCTTTAAAATAAATCCTGACCTCAGAGAGAAAAATAAAAACGCCGCTTTAAATCAAAAAGTAGGTTTCAAATCCATTTATTTAAATATTATTTATTTTATGGTAGGAGAGCTTTTTAAACAATATAGAAGCAATTTTTTCAATTTAAGTTGTAAAAAATTAATGACTATCCAAATCCCGGGACTAATCCCGGGATCCCGGGATTGTGGTAACGACATCCCGAAAATCGCGGGATCGGAAAAATCTGAAAAATTAACATCCCTAATACACATGTACATACATATGTAGGTATGTACATTAGACTGTATCACCAAAAAAAAAAGGTGCGGTTTTTCCACCAAGATTAAAAAATTTATTATATTTGAAGACATCCACCAAAATATTCCTGAAAAATTTTAAGATTTATTTGAGCTGGACCGATTTGAACATACCTCCAAAAATGGAGTTTTTTATGCATAAAAAAAGTTGACATAACAGTTTAAGCTTAAAAAAATTGCAAAAAATATTTAAAAATCATTTCAATGGAATCTTAGTAATGAGATTTTTGATGCTGTTTTTTAACCCATGTTTTCAACAGCAATATATACCCGTTCCGGAAAGAGTGAGACAGCAGGCTTTGGAACATCAGATGTCGAAATTCCATGGACACTTTTATTCACACACACGAAATAATGGCAATTTTTTTTCTAGACCTTGTTCTTAGATTTATTCATTAAAATAAGCAGAATATGCCTGGTCGTTAAAATTAAGCTTGGGAACCCTGAATAAGCAAAGTAAGCAACTCTAAGCAAAAGCCTAAAATTTTCGGCCCTGCTCATATTCGAAGCATGGGTAAACTTAGAACGCAGTTAATACTGGCGAGAGGTAGGTGGCTATAGACAGGCCCGACTTTTTGGTTATCCTTTCACTATCCACAAATCGGAGTAGAAGCTCAGCCAAACACTAAAATATTGTGTATGCGCCAATCTTTTATTATATTATTTATTATTATTTCTTTACACTTTTCGAGATTTTCTCGGAATTCGGAATGTTTTTGTTACTTTTAGTTGGAACTTTTCACCGCTTAACAAAAATTCTAAGGTTCAGCGGTATATTTACATACAAACATGTTAGTTTAGCTTTTTTATTTACATATGTAGGTATAATGCAGACGTACAAACTACTCGTCCATTTGTATGTTTGTATGTAGCCTCTCCATACCTACTTTCGCACAAAACTAGTTGGCTGCTAAGTATCATCCATTGCCCACATTTTCTAGTCAATATTCAATTTGTCATGAATTTTTATTAGCCAGCTAAAAAAGCTATCATTAGTAGTTTATCACTGTTCTTGCTTGGCAACTTTGCAGGTAGTTTGCCGCCATTTAATTATACGAATTCCGTCTCCGCCTTAAAACCGCTAGTCAATGACTAACAAAAGATCAATAGCATTTATTAATATTTCGTAGATGCGCAATTAATATCTCGCGCTCTTAACGAGCGCTGACGCACATTCAACAGCTTAATGGACTTTCGAGCGCAAGTGCGGCTTGTTGACCTTGCTGTTTGCTGCACAACAAATAACTAAATATAAACGGAAAAATCAAGAAAAACAATTATAAAGTATGTATGTATGTATGTATATGGATTGGCTTGCATTCAAGCAAGTTATGCATTTACAAACAAACAAATAAACTAGTCGCTGTCATGCGCTAAACAAAAATGCTGCTTAAACCACAAATAACAACAAAAGTAGCAGTTATAATCATAAACAAGAGAAATAGTCATTTAAATGTGCACACAAAATCAGCAGAGTTCATCTTGCCACTGAGCACTCAGCTTAACAGCGGAATTCTGGCTAAGATTCGAATTCGAGAATTCGAAAGATCCGAGTTCGAATCCTCGAGCAGCGGAATTCTTTACTCTTTTTTAAATTTATATTTTTTTCTTTTATAATTAAATTTTCTTTTAATTTTTAGATTGTGATACTTTAATATTTTTTAATGTAATATAATTTTTTACTCTTATTTTATAGAATATTCTTTTAATTTCATTTAATTTTTAAAAATATTTTGGCTTTATTTTCATTTTATTATTATGTTTCTTTTTTCAATTTAATTTTCTTTTTTATTAGGTTTTTTTTTAATTTAATTTTTAAAAACCTATTGCTACACCATAATGCTAAGACCTCCTCGTTAGCAGCTCTTTCAATTAGTCTTTCGAAAAAGATGAAAGAGCTTTCGAGGCTTTTGTTTTTCGACATACTGTGGCGAGTTGAAAGACAGTATCAGAATTGCTCTGCAAGTTTCTAAGCTTTGAATGCGTTTAAAATATTTTGTTAGCACACATTCATATGTATGTATTTACAAACACATGCAATGCAAATGTAATAAAGCGTAGATTAAGGTGTCTCTCATTTCTCGAAAATTCCTAATTTTTTTTAAATTTCTTATGCGGCACACTGCATTTTTTCCTTTTGATAACCGGAAAATTTTCGAATGTGTGCGATGACTCTAGAAGCACTTGTGTCTTTTCAATGCTACAAGAGAGTACGCCACCCATTACCTTGGTTGAAGAGGTTCTATAATGTTGAGTTCCCTGAGACTGAATTCTGGTTTGATTCCATAGCTGAGACCGTCCATTTGCCCATCTTGCCTTGAAGAAGATGAGACGGTGGAACACTTTTTGTGCTTCTTGCTTGCTTGGTTATTTGTCATCGATTTTTTTTGAACTCGTTCTTTTCTCTATTGTCAGTTTCTGAATTAAAAGTTTGGCGTAATAAGATTAGCCATTTTGATTTTGACGAAAATGGCAAAAGCAAAGCAAGAAAGTTGAAACGATTGGACGGTACAGACGAACCCCTCCTCTTCCATATCCGAGCAGAAATGAATTCAAAATTCGAACTGTGTAAAAGCAGTCTAACTCATCAATTAAGTTCGTCAAAAAATATTTTCGAAATACACACACCTTCTATACAGCCTCTCTGGTCTGATACCCACTTAAAATATTTTACTTAACTTGTTATTTAATTTAATTTTAAATTTATAAACAAGTGGCAACTTCCTTTGAAAATATTTTTGAAATAAAGCTCTCTCTCTCGTTTGATACCTATATTTAAATATCCCGTTAAACTTCTTAATTAAATTTTTTGTTTTTAACGTTTTGAATAGATGGAAAATATTTTAAAGAATATTTTCGAAATAAATTGTTTTTAACACCTTATGTTTGGCGTTATTATTGTTGTGTGACTTTTTAGTTTGAATTGATTAATCGATTTAAATTTTGTAAAAGGTGGCAACCCCCTTAACGGTGTTTCCAAAATAAAATAATTTTGGAACCCCTTTCATTTGAAATCTACACAATTGTAATATTTTACTAATTAAATGATCTTAACTTTTGAAAAGGTGGCAACTCTCTTCATAAAATCATTCTATATGTTAATCTTATCTTATTCATCGAGCCTGAATGCACCCAGTAGTTGCTCCTCCATGTCATAGCCAGTGACAAGAACGGGCAATCGTTCCACTTTTGTGTTGCCTAATTTCATCCCCAGCTACAGCTGTAGCCTTCCTCGGACTCAACTGGACTGTGGAAAATTACTACTCTAAAATTCTACGATGTCAAACTTATAAAATGTATAAAAATCTTACAAATTCGAGACTTTTGAGTAAGGCTATACATCATTCCTACAGATTTGAAAAACAAATTCGTATGCTGGATCGTAATTATTAACTATGCGTTTTAAGGGACACCCTAGCTTAGGTGTTTACATAAGTAACGTTATGAACTGAAAACGTAATAACGTTATTCATTTGAATAGTTCGCTCTTCTATTGCTCTAATATTTTTTCAAGTTTTTTGTGTGTAATTTTCATTGGTTTTCTATGTAGTCTCACTTCGTTTTGTTATTTGGATCAATGTCAACGGCATACGAGTATAACAGTAACGCCTACTCCGGCGGCGAGATACCGATACCGATACCGACACCGACACCAATACCAACGGCAACCAACTTCAAATTCATATACCTACACTAACCATAACAACAACCGTCTAACTGTTGTGACCTTATTGCCAATTACTTTCAAGAGTAACGTCAACAGCTGCCGACTTGCAGTCGTCACTCGCCTTTGCTTTGCATTGTTTTGGCTTGGCTGATAAGTTATTTGAGCTGCTGCTGTTGTCTGGCAAACATTTGATGCGCTGACTCAACATCGCAGCGCTGACCGTCTGTCTAGCGTACCGGGCATTGCACATTTGTTGCATATGAACACATATCAAATATAAAGCCACACGAATATCTACGTACATACATATGTAGGCGGAGTTGCACAACATGTTGCTGACAAAGCGGTAGCATTATCAACCGTTGGCCAGTTGTTATACTCGTAGAATAAATAAGCTCCCCTGCAGAAAAAAAATATCAATTGATAAAAACTAATCCAGTTGTAGCTAGCTTTTTTGCGGGATTTCTATAAAATGTATAACTTGTAGTTAACTACAAAAAGCTAACTTGAAGCTAGTTGACAAGTAATGTAGGGGATTGTTTTCTTTAAACGCGTTTATTTAAATATCCTGCACGTCGCAAATACTTTTTCAAATTGAGGACAAATAAAATGAAGATCCAAATTTTAAATTATCATTTTGAAGTTATATCTGAAGTAGTTCGAATATAGGACCACCTACAGCAGAATTTGTAAATAAATATGAAATATAAAATTAAAAAAATTAAAAATATAATAAAAGAAAAAAATAAAAAATAAAATAAAATAAAAAATATTTTGTTTTCCATATTGATATTTTATGTCCAAGAGTAGTTAGTTACAAGTTAGTTACCCCAAATGCAGAGGTAACCAGCCTTGAATATTTTGCCGCCATCGCCATAGAAATATAGTTAGCTTTCGACAAAGAAAATATGCNATTTTGAAGTTATATCTGAAGTAGTTCGAATATAGGACCACCTACAGCAGAATTTGTAAATAAATATGAAATATAAAATTAAAAAAATTAAAAATATAATAAAAGAAAAAAATAAAAAATAAAATAAAATAAAAAATATTTTGTTTTCCATATTGATATTTTATGTCCAAGAGTAGTTAGTTACAAGTTAGTTACCCCAAATGCAGAGGTAACCAGCCTTGAATATTTTGCCGCCATCGCCATAGAAATATAGTTAGCTTTCGACAAAGAAAATATGCAGACAATAGTGACTTTTAGCTCTTTCCTAATCAACTTAAAGTTAGCTTATAGTTAGATACATTTCCTGCAGGGTCGATATGAACATACATACATACATACATATGTATAGCACTGTATCTATGAGTGTATGTATGTAAATTTGCAAGTTTTCTTGAGCTTTTCGTTGCTCTATTTATCATGAAAATCTATATCTAGAATGAACCAACTAGTTCTCTAGTTAAATTTCTGTACAAGAACGAACCATGTGGACTAAAAAAATTCGGCTTATTCGATTATCGTACCATTGAATAGGCAATCCTTTAATCTATTAGAAAAATCTTAAGTTTTCTTAAATATCTTTTTTGATCACGAACTTATTCGCGAAAAACGAAATTTCATAATAATAGTGTAGGTACTAAATACAATTGTTTACAAATAGTGTACGGGGCACTTGAACTATTATTAAGAAAATCCCAAAGAAATTCTTGTAATATTAAAATAGCATTAGAGCATTTTACTTCATTATATTGCTGGTAACTTTCACAGGCAGCTTCAAAAAATTTCACAAAAAAATTTGAGGTTTCTGAGAATTGCCCATATACATATGTATACCCTATTATTAACACATGTGTTCGTATGATTGCAGCCGAAATGCTGTGCTGGTTTAACAATGCATTCACGCGTTTATGTTTGCCAACTTAGCAAATAATATTTCGACAAATAATAAAGTAAACAAAATTAATTTATTAGCGTAAAGGGTGAGTGGTATAAAAATGCAAGAAGTGTATTTTCAATATTTATTAGCTATTTATGCAACGTATTTATAGTGGTTGGTCAATGATGGTCAAAGGGTTGATAATTGAAATATTCAATACGAGTGCGATGCGTATTACGCCATGAGCTGCGCTGTACGCAAGAAGTGGGTTATGATTTTTGAATATTTATTTTTTATTCTTCTCTTTGCTCTGCTCTTGCCGATTTTTTTGGTTGACCAACGCTGTCAGTCAACAGTGAACTGAACATAAGCACACATGACTTATTATTTGCACATTAGTTTTTCGTACACTTTTCTTTTGGTTTTATTAACTTCTCAGGCCTCGCTTAATTCAGCAACTCTTTTGCTTGCAACGAAATGGCGCAGCGGCGAATTATGTAATCTCGCAAAACTTACTGACATATGTACATACACACATATGAACGTACTACCTAATGCAATACGCAGTGGTAGCAACAACAACAAAACAATAAAACAACGGCAAGTAACCATAACGCATAACAACAATGCAGACCAAAAGTTAGACGCAACAACTGCAAGCACCAAAAATCAAATGGTGTGCTCACCGACAACCAAAAATGAGTAGATATCTACCAACAACAAGCTGCGGAGACACCAATGCAGCAACAGCAGCTGCAAGAGCAACAGGCAACAATGCAATAGTGTTGTTGCAACAATAACACGATAGATAATGGCAATAGTAAATTTTACACACTTGTCCGTTGCAGAAATGTCTGTGTTGCTGTTTTGTGGCTTTTGTTGTTGTTAGCGGCTTGTCTTGCCCAAAACCACTCGTGCATTCATTCACATTTTATGGCAACAGCTGAGGAATTGCAACAGCAAGAGCAACAACATGAGTACAAGTACACAGGCGTACACATACTCGCAACAAAAGCTTGCTGCAACAGATTGCGAAAAAAAAAATATTTTAACAGCAATGCAACACTGAAAACGAACACAACAAATAGATAAAAAGTACTAAACAAAATGCAATAAGATATAAAATTGAAACAAAACGGCAATGCGCCTAACAAAATATTGCAAAATATAAACAAACCTTTGTATGTGTGTTTTAATATCACTGGTTTTGTTTGATTATAAATAGTACACACAGACATAAATATGTAAGTATGCATAGTACAGTGGGCTGGAAAAGCTTAATATGAATGAAAATAATTTTGCAAATATTTTGTTTTTTTTTTTTGGTTTTCGGGGTTGTAAGAAAAAATTTTCAGTTTGGCCGGTATATGGATCAGTTAGCCTCTTTATTAATCTTAAATTTCCTTGTTTTTTTTTTTAATTTCACTGAATTTTTTTGACTAGAGTATTTTAAGATATAATCGCAAAAATTCTCACTGAGGAATAAAATTTCCATTTTCTCACTACAACTCAGTTCAAGAGCAATGAATATTGCATTTCCTCTTTCGTGAGTAAAAAAAGAATTTCAACATAATTTATATAACTCTTTTTTCTCTTTAGGGTAACTGAAAAGGTAAAGCAATTTATTGAAATTTTTCGATAGAAATCGAAATAATTTCATTCATTAAAAATTTAATTATCGAAAGTTATCAGGTTACCGAGATTTATCGAATCATCGCAGCTTTTAGTTATCGAAATTGATCGAGTTATTCATGTTTACTGAGTTATCGCAACGTATAGAATTATAAAAAAAATTGATCAATGTTTA